AACGATGGGCGTAGCTGTGGGAAGCTTATTGTTTTTTGTTGATGAGTGAGTATAGGGGTGGGATTTAATAAGTTTTCTTCATCCCACTCCTTTTCAGGTAATTTTTGTTTTTGTTTTGCGCATTTTATGTTCAATATATGTATTTTGTTGTGCCTGAAATGAATAAATTTAAAAAAAAAAAAAAAAAAAAAAAAAAAAAAAGAACACGTGTGTTGATCTGGGAATATAGTCCTTTTAGACATCACTTACCATTATAGCTGGGTGTCTGATATCTAAGGCATAACTGTCATCCACAGCATTCACAGGTAATCTCAGCAGCTTATCTTGATGTTCTCCTTTTATGCCTAGATTATGTAGACCCTCTAAGACCTTGGCCTCTGACTTAAGTATGTCCAAGATGCTGAAAGTGCAAAATGATGTGTTAGTCTTTGATTCCATCTGTGTGTCAGTATATATGCATTGCACCAAATGCTTTACTTCTATCAGAGAGTGTCTTTTATTAATGCAATTTATTGTGTCCTTACTTTAAAACATATTATTTTGTTTATAACAAGTGACATTCACTACAAGTGGTACTCATTATGCAATATTTCTATCAGGAAAAACATGAAAAATATAACCCCAGCCAGATACATTAAACCAGATATTCATTCATTGATGAATATTTGGTTGATATAATCATATATGATATCTGTGGTATTGAAAGCGATATTCAATATACCATGATGGAAAATGTTTTCTTTGTCCACAAAATATAAGTCAGAGAAGCCCTGGACTTTTATCTTGCTAACACCATTAAAAAAGTAATTCAGGACACGACCAGCTAAAAGAAGAAGACAGCACCCTTTGTGAGTGAGAAGGACGGGTTATTCTGTCCAAGAGGGAAAAAAGGTGAAGCTGGCATTCATGTATCCATATTGTGGAAAATGACAATTCAAACCACATCAAATATTAGGATTTAATACATATTGAAAACTTAAAATTACTACAGCAAGTCATGATCTTATTGCACAAAGATCACCCTAGGTCTGGTGCTTCCAGAGGGGAGCACAGGCATATGCAGGTACCTTCCTGCTGTGTTCCTACCTGAAGGGATTGTGAATGTCCAGATCAATGTGCAGCCCGTTGATGAAGAGCTCACAGTCTCCTGGGTGAACACCAATGGTCTCACTGAGGTGCTGAAAGAACAAGCTCAAAGTGTTAGTTGAATCCCAAAAGCCCTGATTCTAACATTAATGTCTGATCTTTTCACATGAAAAGATGTGCACTGAGACTACAGAAATAAGTAAGGGTAGTAAGAGAGTAGGAGAAAAGCAAAAATAAAATGTCAAATTTATTGTGAAATTTATATGACACAGAGATTAGAAACTGATTCTCTAAAATAGAATGTGTGCAATGGCAACAGATATTATCAAAGACAGCAACTACCCTATGATATCGCACCTTTTGGTTCTCCTCAATTTCTTTTCTCATTTCCTGCTTTACAGCCACTCTTGTCAGTGATCTGTGGGAACAGTAAAACATGTACAGTCACCATCAGCTTTTACCGCATCCCCAGCCGGCAGTAAAATGCCAGTTTTAATTTCCAAAAACCTGAGGGTCCTCAAGATGGTGCGTTTGCAGTCAATTCCCTGTAAACACCTGACTCTTACTCAGCACTTTTTGAAGTTATTACAAGCTGCCGGTACAAAAATAAGCAAACATCTTTTAAAAAAGCTGATTAGATCCCTGTACAACAAATTATTTACATTCATTGCAGGGTTACAAATTGTCACAGAAAGGAGTAATAATGCTCAAATAAATGGGGCTATAAAAGAAATACTTTATGTGCACTTTAAGAACAGCATTTGTTTGGCCAAGATTCATACAGGGCAGGGCTTTGACAGGAATTGTGAAACCACATAAAATGTGTTAACCATTGAGCAAGAAAAAAAAAATAATAGGATAAATTTTCTTACCTGGCTTTGCTTGGAAAGTTCTGACTGAGATCTCGCAAGAGCTTTAAAGCATCAAACTTTGGTGCAGACATGATTCTAGAAGCTGCCTGGAAACTCAAATCTACACAGATTGAACAAAAGAAACGATCAACATTTATACATTATGCACTACATACTGTACATTAATGCCACTGTTTTGCACAATATCCAACTACAAACCTCTGTATATTTTATATATTTTATTTTATTGTTTACTCTATTTAATTTGTAAAATATGTATACACACACACACACACGTAGAAAAACATATTTAGTATACACATCCAGTAATGCATATACTATTATATATTGTACATATATTTATTAGTCTCAGATTTAGCCATTCTTATATTTTGCTTGTTTTACGTTATTGTATTTTTGCACAACTCTGTTGCTTGTGAAGCTCGCACACAAGAATTTCACTCACATGTACTGTACCAGTGTACCTGTACATGTGATGTGACAATAAAAGTGATTTGATTTGATTTGATTACATCTATGAATGCAAAGGTAAAGTCAAAGGTGGCTATTAGCTTTTCAAGCTCTATTTTCTTTTAAATACATAACACTAGAAGGGGCACCTGCACAACTTAAGTGTATTTCCTATGCAGACAATGCAATAATCTACACAGCTGCATTCTTTTCTCTGCCACAGGCTCCAGACGATCCTTCAAGAACTGCAAGCCTCATTGTAACATTTGGCTAAAATTGTTACAAAAACTCACTGAATACTCAGTGTATGCAGACCGTTAAGGGGCATTTAAAAAGAAAGAGCACGGCAGCAATGTAGCAGCAAGTGAATGCCTATTAAATTTAGCGATGGCAGCTGTGTAGCACAATGTATATTTTCGGTGGTTACACCTTTAGCACTCATTCTCTGCAAAGCTGTATTAAATACAGGAAGATAGTGAGCTTTTATTTTAAGAGTGTGTCTTCAGCTTATAGATCAGCACAGTGTTGCGAAAACTCACATTGTTCAGTGAGATTGTGCACCATGGGCTGTTGCACATTTACAGAATACAGTTAACTGTCAGGACCATCAAAATAAAAATGGTAGGCACTCGGACATCCACTCAGAGCCTCATGCTCACCGTCTGATGACAAAACTCACGTCACTCAGACCCATACAATACCAACCCTGTAAGTTTCCAAAGCAGAGCTCCACTCACAAATGCACCATTTTCACACTGCTTTCATTGTAGCTGCTGTTTATAGTGCAATGTGACAACATCCACGCCATGAACAGTTCCACATATGTTGTGGACTTATTGCAGCCAAGCAATTTCCACCTACAAATGAGTACTTTATAATCAGATTTCTTGGCCCTTATTAAGTTTAATGTGACATTAACAGCGGTACATATTTTTACACAGAAATAATGTTAAACTCCCTCTCTCCTTATGATATTGCTTCTGTAGATCACTGCTCTACAGGGTACCCAAGATTTGTTCAGAACTTGGAAGAACAGCCTTCTTTGATTTTATGACCGGGTCACAAAGTAACCTTCAAAACACACTAAGACTCAATAATTTTCTCTCCCTGGGGGAACTTGAAACGCTGATTTAAAAAAAAAACTGTGCAAGTAAAAAGCTGGATTTTACTCCATGTATCTGCAGTCCTTTCCTTGTTTTAATGTGTCCCAGGTTGGCTTTTTTGTGATTTTGTAAATTTTTGTAACCTTGCAATGCTGTGCTATCTTGGCCAAGACTCCCTTGAAAAACTGTTTTTTATCACAACGTATGATTACTTCCTGGTTAAATAAATGTTACATTAAAACATAAAAAGTAAAATAAACCTCACCTGCACTTCATCAGTAATAAAACCTACACAGTGAAGGTCTCGCCTTTGATCCTCTTTCAGTGTCAATAAATCTAAGCTTTTTCTTAGTGCATGATAGTAGCAAATGCAGACAGACATTAAAAATATCCTCAAACTGTTGTCAACAGTACTGAAATGAAAAAAAAAACTGATACCTTGCATTTCCCACACTTTTAGAGGGGCCATGTCATTGGTACTCTCAAGAAGATGTTTGCGAAGCTCAACAAGATGCTCCTGGAGTTCAGGATGAGATTTCCTTAAGAGAGATAAAAGAAAAACAGAAAGACACGATACAAGGTGAGGATTTCTTTTTGACTCCTAATTAAGTGGTGTCAAATACACAGTGACAAAAACAACAGAAAAATAATAGATTAAAACATCTTTAGGACTGATAATATATTACTTACTTTAATGTCCCAAAAAAGAATCCTTGGACTTCATCATTATCATCATCCTCCACATTTATAACCGTCTTTGAATCTATAAAGCAAGAGATTCGTGTTTACTTGCCTGAGAAACAGAGTTCAACACACAATATTGGATAAATCACTAACTGACCTTTTACTTCAGTGTCATCCACAGCTTTGTATTCTGTGCTTTTGATAGCCAACTCAACACCATACCCAGATAAAAGCATCTTTTGAGGCTTTGGATTCTGTATCAAATAAAAGCAAAGCAATGTAAAACAGTGCAGAGTTGAATCTGAATTAGAGCTCTATACAGAAGATACTTTCTGCCTATATGTACCCACTATACTCTATGTGAACAAAACTACATTCAAACACATTTGAAGTAGAATGCATCACACTGGGTGAGTTTCGGCTTGAGACTGTCACTGGATGCCATCTTTGTAATACATTTTTCCCCTGGTCAACTATAACTGGAGTTATGAAGTGGAAAATGTCTCGAAGCAACAACGGCTTAGCCACAACAGAACACGCTGACACTAGTGACACGCTGACTAGTGCTGACACATTATAAACTTCCTATAGAAGTGAGAGATAATGACAGCACAAAGATCACCCTGGGTAAAGCCAGAATCGATGTAAAGTAAGTCTCCAGCAGACACTTCATTGTCTAATTACATTTGTTTTTGTTCAGTTTGTTTCAGCATGGCACATCTTTAAGCCCATATCTAGGTGCCCACATACCTGTGGCAAACCATGTTGCCTTTTTATAGACTTTTCAAGACTACAGTCAGTGAAAGTTATAGACTATGAAACAGTTTATCTGTGGGAACAAAAAGCAAACTGACACGTACAGCAGCAGATACACTGGCATTCAACCTTGACACCTGTGTCACCCAGACACTGCTTCAATCTTTCACAAGCGTAACGAGGAAGCTTCCACACCTACACACCGCTTTTCTTCAAGAAAAGCACATTTCCTACTTTCAAAGGCATCTGTTTGTCAGTTAGTTTGTAGAAATCTGTTAATTCTACCCCTGAACATTGGTCAGTCATACATGTTGTTCAGCAGTGTCCATTTGATCAGGAAAAACTATGAGGAACAACATTTTTTTCATGACAGAAAATATAACTAATGGATAAAAAGACTGTTTACAGTAAAGTGTTATTTAGTGTTATTTCAGCCAGTATGGCCCCTGATGAGCAAGTGTTCTTAACAAAGTAGATTACAGTAGATGCAATAGATTTATTCGTTTGACCTGTAGTTTATAAGAAACATCTTGTACTCAGTAACACTGTGTCTATAATGTTATCTGAAGTTAGTATTTCTTTGGGGTGGGGGGCAGATTCTTGAAGTAAACTGATCAGTAAACACAAATGCTGCCAATGCCCTGTCTCACCATTTTGAAGAGAGTGATGTGGCTCTAAACCAGAATGTAATTGGTGCTTTTTTCTGGCCATCTTTCATCATGAAATTTGGCTTGTTTTTTGGGTTTTGTTTTTTTTTTTTTGCATAATCCTGTTAGGAGTCAAACTTCAGTGAAAATATAACCTCTGTGACAGAGTTAATTTAAAAAGAAGGATAGACAAAACAGCAGCGACAAACAACAAACATGAAGCTGGCACTCTAGCTTTAATTTTTTTAAAAAGCTAATTGAATGCTACTAATGGAACAACTGCTAACACATCACAGAAGATTTGAAGCTAGTGTTCATTTTATTTTGAGTCAGGTATCTTTCCTGTATGACTTATCACCTAATGAAGTAGCCCTCCAACATGTTCACCAAATAAATACGCTTTGACAAATGACACTGATGTTGAACAATTTAGCATCTTTTTTCTAAACTCAGATGGAAAACAGGATTTACGTGAACAACAACAAGTTGTTGTCTACAAAACAACTTGTTGTTGCTGTCTACAAAGGCTGTCTACAAAAGCAAGCATCCCCATACATTCCCATGTTATATCGTCTTGATGCATTCTCAATCATCCAGGAAAGTAAATCTCCAAAAGTTGATTCTGTTCATCTGGACGTAGCGTTTTGTGGGAGAAACATTTTGTCACTCATCTAAGTGACTTCTTCAGTCTCAGCTGACTGCAGGTTTCCCCAATCTTATAAACAGTACATTTGTATAATGACTGAAACCAGCCCACTCAAGGTACAATGGAACAGTTCCTTAGTCTTCCACTTATTAATAATAATTAATAAGTGGAATGGCAAAGCAGTGGTGGAGGAGGGTATATTTCTACTCACCGCTACAAAATGACGCAGCACATATGTAAGTGTGCCCTTTTCAACTTTCTCTGACAGCACCTTGTGAAAAGAGGTGAACTTCTTTGTTCCAATCTCTGCATACAAGATCACAACTGGCACATCTGTTTTATTGACCCCTGGATATGTGTGATCATTCTTGTATAAATATGGTTTTGGCCTGTGAACATTTGGAAAATGTGGTTAAAGATATCCCAGAGCTAAACATTGATAGGTGAAAGCATCAAATATTAAAAACACAATTTTAAAAACTTTCAAATAACTACATACATAAATTCAAACTTCCATGTTACCTGCCTGCAGCTGCCTTAAGGAGCTTCTTGATGTCCTTGGTGCTGCAGCTGTGTTGCCCATGGATGGAGACAAAGGCTGGGCAAGCCTCAGGCGGAGGCTCATCTTTGGCTATCTGTTATGAACAGAAGGAAGAAAAAGAATGTTTGGTAAAGTAATGGCTACAACAAAACCTTACCAAAGCCAGGGTTTGCTGGTTTGGTCCCCACCGGAATTACTCGTTTTAAAATACATGTGATTATAACACGACTACTTCTCTACTTTTGAGGTTAGGCATAAAAGTTTTATTTTGATAAAAGTGTTTAGTCAGGGCTGGATCAGTTGAGCCCTTAGTTATGCTGCTACAGTTTCAGGTTGCTGGGAGATATCTTATGGTGCGCTGAGCTTGTCTTTTCCAGTCTCCTCTGTTTTTAAACCCCCTTATTTCCCACTTCTGAAATTCATACAGAGAATGTGCTTCTACTTTTTCTTCTCATTTTTGTGTTGTTTTGTTTGTTTTTCATCATACTTTCTGTGACCCCCCCCAGTAGAGGGCTGCCACGCCATGAGCTTGGCTTTCCCAGGGTGGGGTCTCTCCCTGTTAAAAACAGTTCTTCCTCCGCAACACTGCTAGGTGCTTGCCTATAGAGGATTGCCTGGATTTACAAAGTGCCTTGAAATGACTGAGTTTTAAACTGGATCTGTATAAATTAAACTGAACTGAGTTGAAAATATTACTTTATAACACTTTGATCAGAACATACCTGCTGGGATGCATGAACAGTTGGTGAATAGGAGCGCAGGGCAAGAGCAAATTTGAGAAGATTAACTTGAAGATCTGTGAGGAACTGTCCGGCTTTCTTAATGATCAAGTTGTAGTACGAGCGCACCGACTCTGTAGAATAAACAGTGGTGGGACAAAAACTCAAAACTCAGTTCGATGAGTTACACCTCTTCAAATAAAAGTAATAGTTTAATGTAAAAACAGACATACCTCCGTGCTTGTATACAGTAAGTTCTTTTACAGTGTCAACAAACTGCCAGAATTTCTCATTCCCATCTTCTCCAATAAATTCGCTGCACATGAAAATATGTAAGTATAATAAGCAAACATTATCTTGCTCCTCAGCAGTTAAAACTACAGACCACCAAAATCATTAATTTCTGGAAGTAACTGTGCACATATCCACTGTAACTCATCATGCATCATTAAACAAGATAAAGTATCAAGTTTTTTATTACGACTATTTAAACACACAAACCAATTATATACGAACATTTCTACGAGGTTACCAAAGAGATTGGCATAACTAACACTGATGATAAAATCGTCACAGACTATTTTGAAACAGGAGAGGCCACAAAGAAGGATGCAACAGAGAGGACAGACATTCCAGCTTTAAGCGTATCAACTTTACCAGAAGTACACCAACAGGGATAGAGCGAAGTTATATTTTAAGGTGACTTCAAAAAGTTAAAGGCAGTAAAATTACATTAAATCAATAAATAACCAGTATAAAAATCTGAATAACCTTCCAAGAGTAATAAAGTAGAACGTTTTTTTGGTGATTTTTTTACATAAGTGTGCTTCAGAAATCATAATAAGGCAACTCATCATCAACTCAACTCAACATAAACAAAGTGATGTTTATATTTGGTCCCCATGAAAACGGCCTTGCTTGGTGACACTTGTGATTTAATTTGAAAGATAAATGGTTCTGAGCTGAATAATAAATAATAATATAAATGTGAGAATTAAGGTTTTCTAAATGTTCCAGCATTGTTTTCTACTGTGATAAACACAGTGAAATAACTTCTGTCTATTACTTAAAGTCTATTGTAAATAGGCTGCAGAATGCACTTTTCAAATTGTTAGGTCTGTGATGGGATTAATCATTCTGGATGATGGCTGTCAATATAACGAGATTGATTTTTCCACAAATGATATTCTGTTTTAGTGTAGCTACAATGTAACACAAGAAAGTCTTTCAAAAAAGCTAAATGATGGTAAACTACAATGTATTTACGACCCTGAGCACAGTTACCGTGGAGAACATTGAGGCTGTGACCTTTATCTGGTAATACAATATACTATTATAAATCCTTAATTGCAGTGATTTTAAACAAAACAAAAACAAAGAAGTAGGAAAGGGAGAATAGAGTTTCCTAGTAATATTCATGGAACTTTCAGCCCAAGGTTGGCTGAATCACCAAAATTAGTGCTATTATCCATCAGTCTGCAAGGAAAGTTTTGATGAAGGTTTTGGTTACGAAAACATCAGTGTTGATGTAAGAAGTGAAAGAATTAGTAGTGGATAAATAAATAAATGCATTAATGAATAGCAATCAGTAACTACTTTAATACTAAATAAATAATTTCAGTTTGCTTTCAGGTGAATGTAGTGCAAAAATAGAAATCATTCAATATTTCTAGTCTCTGGTCCTGACCTGTCTCTGGGAAGTGTAATGAGATTTTATTTTCTGTTTAGGACATTTAAAGATTAAAATACAAACCGCAGATTAATAAAATATAAAAACTGTGCATTTAGGAGGAGGGGCACCTGGCTGTGCCCCGTTTTATTGCACATATGCATTTCCAAGAAAAGCACTGTACCTCGTCTCCAGGAGGAAAGGCGTCATGCTCCACTTGGCTTTAAGACTGGCAGTGACGCCTTTGGGGGCTGATATTACCTGATTTATGTTCAGCAGCAGTAGCGACAGCACAATAACGCTCCTCATTATCGCGATGCAACATGAACCTATAGCAGTGGTAGAGAGCAAAAAGGTACGCCGTCAGTTCAGCTTTTGAGAGGTGCCATTGAGTGCCACGTAGTTACTCTGAGTTATTATCTCAACCTCAAAGCCAACACACACGCACACATAGTCGTCTGAAGAAAAAAAAAACCGCTCGCAAGATTATGGGAGATGCTAGAAACATGAGAGGTGCTCGTTAGCCAAGGAGAGTAATAATAAAATAACGTCTCCTCATAAGGGTCAGGCAAAAGAGTGAAGTTAACTTAGCTGCAGACTACAAGTCAGCTGCCGTGACATGAACTAAAACATCCCAGCAGCGTGATTTAACTAACGGAGACCACGAGCATGGGTTGCCACAAACACGTAACAGTGGACAGACTATTATGTAGCTACAGTGTTGCCAATAACATAGAGCTCACCCAGTCAGTGATGCTAGTGGTTTCCATACAAAGCAAAGGGCTTCATTCAGCTTGATATTTTGGGCAGCTAACAGCCTGTACGGCTAGCCTGTTACCGGGGTTGCGGGGTGTCGAGGTGTCTCGCGCGGACCGTTATTCCTACCCGAAAGAACCGGAAACCGGAAAACAAAACGAGGCCTTTAATTATTTTCAAACACCGTTTTTTATATTGTTTATACAGACCAGGCGAGAAAGGTCGTTGTATAATTTAATTAAATTAGATGATAATGTGGCAAATTATTCTGGCACATTGGCAGACAGCTAAAGAGACAGACGCTGAAGCTCAAGCACTAGAGCATGTTGTAGCAACACTAGTAGTGAGTGATGCGTGCGCGTGTGTGAGTATCTATTGAATCTCCAGTGTGAATCTCCAGACACTTCCTGTAGGCTGTGAAAAGGAAAAATCCAAAACAGTGAATCCAAAAATTAACCGAAGTTGTTACATTACGTTTAGAATAACTTTTTATTTTTCTAGCCTTCATAATGATAGTGATAATAATAATAATCATTATAATAATAATGTTATAGATTATTTGAACTACTTTAAAGCTATATCAGTTATCCATTCATTCCTTTTTTTTTT